TGTCAAGTTTATTGCAAGGATGTTTTGTATTTTGTCCAAATCTTACAGTAAAAACTAGTACTATTTTACATATTAAAATTGTTAATCTATGGAATGTATCCCTTATTTGGAATAGATGTTTATTGTATAGCAAATAGAATTTAATGATATTTTACAAATTCTTTGCTGTCACAAATCTTAAATAAAAGAAAGTTTCAAAATGCTCTTGTTGGATACCATTGCATCCACCTATCTCTATCTGCAGTTTATTATAAGAGTGCTACAAAGAATATTAGCCTTTTTTGTTGTAGGCACAACCAAAGGGAAGCAATTTCTTAAAGTGGTCACTGTATAGTATTAAATGATACAAGTTTTTAGGAAACTTCAATTTATTATGAATAGAAATAGTAATGGATATATTTATAATGAGAATTTCAAACTGTTCCTGATAGTAAAAAAAAAAAAAATACAGTTGTTAACCTTACAAAGTGTATAATACTTCACCTCAGTTCTTGCTTTGTGGAAATATCTGTGTTAACATGAAATTAGCACTTTTGAATTATGATTAAATGAGCACTTACCTATTGCTGTTGTGTACCGCTTTCTTACCTGATGGGTATTTTTGTGCTGTCATCTGTCACCTCACCTATTGTACCACCTGTTTTTAAGACATACTTTCTAATTACATAGCACTGAGTTCCTCTGTGTGATCTAATTCAACAGTGAACATCAGGAAGCTACTTTGTACCAGATCTGGTGTCACTCACTCTTATTTGGCACCAACTTGATGAACTTGTTTTTACCTTATTCATATGAATAGTATCTATTTGAAATTGCCTCAAAGAGTGTTAAGATTGGCCTGGATGATGGATCTAAAGATCTTCAATTGATCTCAACTGATCAATACACACCCTATTCTTTTTCTTTGGCTCTATTCCATTGAATTTCTCAGAACCACTCTTCCATTTGCACCTACTTTTAAACTTCATCCTTTCTTCTTCTAACCAACAGTCTTGCTCTGATTAGTGACTATAGTCTACACTCCATGTTGTTGCCACAGGCAGGTCTCTAAATAAGGTCTAAGTGCAAACACCCCTTGCTGACAGTACACACACACACACCCTCAGCCCATCTAGTTCTCCAGCTACCGCTGCTGGCCCTCCCTGCCTCTTCAAGCTTGTCTTGCTGAGGACACCAAGCTTCCCCATGGCAGGCGGGGACTTACCTTGCTTCCCTTGCGTGGCTCAGCTGCTGCGCTGCTTGTCCTTGACTCAGATTAACCAGTTCCGCTTACCTTTTCTCCTTGCTTCAGTCTCTACGCTCAGAGACAAGCTATCATTGGGTTAGCTTTCCTTCCTAGGCTTTCCTGGAACCTACTGCAGACTAAACAATGTTCACCCCCGGTAAATAAATTATATCTGGAATTTTTTGTTACATACCACCTTGTATTTATTTTGAAAAGAGGAAAGATGGAATTAATTTCATGTATCTCTGACCTGGAGTTTCATTCTGTTCTTTGATACATTGAAGGACTGGGGCAAGGAAAGCTGGTAGGAGGAAGAATCTTGCGGTGGATGGGAAGGTGGTTTGGGCCTTGACAGGAGCCTGAGCCCAGTAGCTCCTCAGTCACAAAAAGGGTGAAATCGTTTCTATAGTGATGGAAGGAGGGTGTGGCCCTGCGCTACTGTGGTGGCGCCCCTGGCCCCAGCCCTACTGGGCCTCGTGCCTGTGAATGCCGGATGCAGCTCCTCCCACCTGTTACCCTGACCCGGACAACGTAGGAGCTGGGAATCAGACGATTTACGGTGGGTGGGTGAAACCCTGGGCCGGCTGGGGTGCTTGGGTAAGAAGCGCGGGGACTGGTGCCCGGAGGAGGGGAAGCAGAAAGGCAGGTGTGTGAGCCTGGGAAGGAAAACACTTTTAACCTTGTGGCCAGCATCGGAACCCTCAGGACTCCACTTCCCTGTTCACAGAACATGGCACCGCAGGCTCCAGCAGAGTGCAGGAAAGGGAGGAAGGGCGTAGGGAGTTTTTAAGAACTATCCTGAAACTGCTTCCACCCCACCCCCAACGACCCCAGGTATGAAATAGCAGATCCCCCCTTTCTTTACTTGATTGCATGTGGGCTTGGCAGTCATAAGCGGACCTGTGACACGCATCGCATCCACAAAGATTTGGCTGGCTCAAGCATGTTCCCACCCATCTCTTAAGCCTGGCGCCTCTTGTTCAGCGGGAGAACAGCCCCTTGACAAAAGAGGCTGAGGTGTGCCCTGCCCCCACAGCAACATTTCACCCTCAGCCCTATTGACTCTCACCCTGGGGATTTACCTTTAAAGGACACTGCACAACATACACTTAGTGTTAGCAACATTTTCCTTTAAAGGACGCTGCACAACATACAGAGTTTAAAAGTCTAGTTAACTTGGGGCCTTGCTGTGTTTGAAATGTCCGTACAACCCTTATGGCTTCTCCCACATGTTTTTGATAACTGCCAGCATCTCCAATCTTAATTCAGGCTCGATTGTTCAAGCTTTGGTGGAGACCAGAGGGACCAAAGTACAAGGCCATTGACATGGAAAGGGTCACACTGTGGAGCCACCTAATGTAAATGTCCCTTCTCGTGCTGGAGGGATTTAGCCACCTGAGCTTGGAAGTCTTGGCCTTCTAAGGACTTGAGCACAGGTGATACATCATTACCCTAGGACTGGAGCCTTCTCCAGTTCAGCTCTCATCCAGAGAAAAGAGGCAAATTTGCAGGAAATCTAGCAAATACAACAGAATACCCACAGTGTAGGCTGACTCTTATGCCTGGATGGTTATGTCACAGGAGAAGGCTCTTGCCGGTTTTGATTTTGGTTTTTATTTACCTCCATACTGGAGATGGATCCCAAGGCCTTGCACATGCTTGGCAGGTACTCTACCACTGACTACATCCTCAGCATAGGAAAAAAGGTTTGAAGAAACCCACAGTTCTGGAGGTGGGTGAGTACAGGGGAAAGAAACAAGTTTTTTCTATTCAATTTTGAACGGTGAAGAACGAGTAGAAAGGGGTGGATTTGTTCATTGTTGCTTTACAGAGCATAGCAAGGTTGCATGGAAGGTATTTTTCTCAGTGTCATTCTTCTGCAGAAAGTTGTCATGTACCAGCCCTGTGTGCAACAGAGTGAAGCAGATTGCATGTATAAACAGTGTGCTGTCTCAGGAATGTTCTAGCACAGACTAATGACTGTCAGGGCTTTCTGTCCCGGATGGGAAGATGAACGAGACGGTCTCTACAAATCTCCTTCAGCTTGAGTTGTGAATCGTCAAACCATGAAGTTTCAAGGACACAGGCAGAAGAGCACAGGCGTTCTCGTTGGTGCAAATAAAGTCACTTAAGTATATTATCTGCTTTTGGAGGAATATAAGGGGAGTGCTTGCTCTGGCTACATTGTCACAGTTTCTGCTCCTGAGGTAGTCTCCAGGGCAATCAGATGAAGCCATGGCTTACAACTGCAGTAGAAATACTAAGGCCTAAGAGGTACATCTCAGAAACAGTGAAGCACTGGATACAGGGATAGTGCCTCTGTATCAGATACTCTGTGGTGCAGCATGGCCAGCACCGCTGTGGCTCAGCCTTGCCCCTGAGATCTCAAGGATTCAGGTTGCTTTATCTTCCATTTCCCAGCAGGTGGCAGCTGATCTGCTGCTTTTTGATGAATGAAATTGTGTTAGGTCACAAGCCCCTCATGAGGGCAGAGACGGTGTCTTACTAGAATTGTCTCAGCAAGTATCTGTAGAAAAAAAGGAAAGAAAAGAAGGAAGAAAGGAAGAATGGAAAAGAAAGAAGTGAAACGTCATTAGCAGCACAGCAACTGTTACATTGTTTACTATCACATAGGATTTTTCAAATTTGTATGTGTGTTGAAATGAATGTTCCAGGGCCAGGGAGATGGTTCAGTAGAATAAGCGCTTCCCTGGCAAACACAAGGGCCTGACTTCAATCCCTAATCTCTTCTGGTTCCGCCAAAAAAAAAAAGTTCCCATAGTAGCTGGGCACAGTGGCAAGAACCGTGAACCTATAGTTCCATCCTACACGGCGAGCTGAGGCAGAAGGATCACTTGAGTCCCAGAATTCCGGGCCAGGTGGTCAAGTTGACATTGTATCGTGTGTGTGTGTGTGTGTGTGTGTGTGTGTGTGTGTGTGTGTGTGTGGCCAGCTCAGCCCACCAGGGATGGTGCGGCATGTGGTTACTGGGGATCAAACGAAGGTCCCTGTGTTTGTCTAAGCTTGCCTAAGGTGCTTTAGACCACTAGTTTTGCTTAATGTATTTTGAGTATACATAAAATCCACCTCAGTTGGATTGATGCCTTTTACAAAACACGTGTGCCATGTTTTTAACTTCCTGTTAGGCAGGGAAGTAAGTTCTTATTTCTCATATTCATTTTACCATAGGACTGGGAATATAGCCCAGTGTCACAAGTCCCTGCCTGACCAGCACAAGGTCCTGAGTTCAATTCATGATACAAAAAAAAAAAAAAAAAAAACATCATTTTACCATAAAAGTTCACACATCTTCAGTCCTCAAAATCATAAACTGGCACTGTCACCCCTGCTGGTAAGGCCTGAGGAGAGCTCCCCACAGGCATACTGTG